AATCCCTTGGAAATTGTTAAGACAATTCCAGGGTTGCAGCCTCAGAGTTTTTGACTCAACAGGTCTGAGTGAGCCAGTGAATTTACATTTGCATTTCTAACAATTTCCCAGAAGATGCTGATGCTGCTATTCCAGAGACCATAGTTTGAGAACTGTTGGGCTTTAAGATTAATGACTGAGTACACCATTTCATCCCTTTATGTTAAAGTATAAACCTTCTTTGACCTGGCCTAAAAAATAATCTATGTCCATTGTTTAAATGATGTTAGAGGGAATTCTATATTATATTACTTAAGGCATTTTGATAAATAGATTCTAAAATTTTATTGAAGTACCTTTGCATGTTGGCTTTCCTATCCATTGGCTCTTAATACACTGTACAAAATTGGGTCCATCCATTTCGTAATATTTTGGACATTTATAAGTCACTTTTTCTTCTGACTTATATGATTCCTTCATTGGGCCTATGGGTATGGCATTACCAAAATCGGGTAAGCCAAAACAGTCTGTTTCTGAAAGAAAAGAATATGTACTTGTTCAGTAAATCTTTTAAAATACATAATGACCAATAACTATAATGTAGAGTAATAGGTACACATCAAACCAATGAGCACTGTTATAAGTTGAAAAAATGTGTTAGAAGTCTTCTGATTTAATTATATTGAGTAGTCCTATGTTTATCAAAAGTAAAACATGGGGATGATGATGTTGGAAGCCTGAAAAGATAGGGATACATGTAATGCTTGATATCACACTTCTTCTATTCAAATTCTCTTTTGCCCATACAGGCCACCTACATTATGTATGTATTTGTATTTTTTGCTTCTGTCAAAATCTGTTACTTTTAGTTATGTCAAATATCTTAGAAAACTGTATACTTATAAGGAGATAACTGATAAACTAACAGTAAATTAAATAATGATGAGATCACTGAGCAGGGACCAGCTGTGGTCCAGGAACGGAGATGAGGAGTCTGAGGACGTTTATCAGAGGTTGTTGAATGTGCACACAAAGCAACATGAAAGTGAAATAATTTGGGCTCATGCTGTCACACTTTTATTATTCCTAGGGTTATTAGTTCTCTACCAGACTCCACAACTTTCCAGAGATACCTTGTTAAATTCTAGAATTACTGTCTGGTTTCATATTTGTACCATTTATGCTCTGAATTAAGAATATTGATCAACCTTAGAGTAAAATTAAATGCACTATACTTATGCATTTTGGTGGATGGGACCATTTTCCTCCTAAACATTTTATAGATGCAGATCCATTAATCCAAAAACCTTCGACACATTCATACACTATTTCTTCTCCATACTGGTAAGTGTCTGATTTGCGAGGTGGAATACTACGTAGAACCACATATTCTGGTGGTGCACAAGGAAGCCCTAAAAAAAAAAAAAAAAAAAAAGAAAGAAAGAATGACTCCATGTTTTATGAACTCTGAAATTTAGTTTTATGTACTGGATGCCATATTTGGCAATATTATTTGAAAAGGAATGATAACACAGGAGCTACAGTCATAGCAGAGAAGGTGCACAAATGCTTCCTAATAGCACCATTCTGATGTGTCCAGCTGGCAACCAGAGCAAGAGCTTGAAACCAAAAATGTCAATATATTATCAGCTGTAGCAAATTCCCTCTAGATATGTCTCCGGAGGCAAGGGAAATAAAAGCAAAAATAAACTACTGGGACTACATCAAAATAAAAAGCTTTTGCACAGTGAAGGAAGCAATCAGCAAAACTAAAAGGCGGAGATATTTGCAAATGACATATCTGGTAAAGGGTTAATATCCTAAATATAGAAAGAACTTATAAAACTCAGCACCTGGAAAATGAATAATCCAATTAAAAATGGGCAGAAAACATGAATAAACATTTTTCCAAAGAAGACTACAGATGGCCAACACACATGAAAAGATGCCCAACATCACTCATCATTAGGGAAATACAAATCAAAGCCACAATGAGATACCACCTCACACCCTGTCAAAATGGCTAAAATAAAAAAAAAACAAACCCACAAGAAACAACAGGTGCTGGTAAGGTTGCGGAGAAAGGGGAACCCTCTTGCACCGTTGGTGGGAATGCAAACTGATGCAGCCACTCTGGAGAACAGTATGAAGATTCCTCAAAAAGTTAAAAATAGAGCTACCCTATGAACCAGCATTGCACCACTAGGTATTTACCCAAAGTATACAAAAATACTAAATCAAAGGGATACATGTACCCTGATATTTATAGCAGCCTTATTTACAATAGCCAAGATATGGAAGCAGCCCAAATGTCCATTGATAGATGAATGGATAAAGAAAAGGTAGCATGTATATTACTCAGCCATAAAAAAGAATGTAATCTTGCCAATTGCAATGACATGGATGGAGCTAGAGAGTATAATGTTAAGTAAAATAAATCAGAGAAAGACAAATACCATATGATTTCACTCATATGTGGAATTTAAGAAACAAAACAAATGAGTAGAGGGGAAAAAAGAGAAAGAGAGGCAGACCAAGAATCAGACTCTTAAATATAGAGAACAAACTGATGGTCACCGGAAGGGAAGTGGGTGGGGGGATGGGTGAAATAGGAGATGAGGATTAAGGAGGGCACTTGTGATGAGCACTGGGTGTTGTATGGAATTGCTGAATCACTATATTGTACACCTGAAACTAATCTTACATTGTATGTTGACTAACTAGAATTTAAGTGAAAAATAAAAAAAAT